TTGTAGGCAAAAGTTGGGATTACAGCGAGGGGCAAAAAAAAAACAAAAAGCTATAGCATCTAACGATAAAGGTCTTGCTTCTAATCCATGATAGCCTTGTTCTATTGGAGAACAATTCCTCATCCGTAAATTTGCATATCTCGTAGTGTAATTCGAGATTTTTATTCAAACGATACTCGTTTCTCCCTCTCGCTCTCGTGACATTGGGCAATTCTTCGGTTCGAACAATCTTCCCTCTTTTTTTTTGCTGGTCGCTCGCTTGTTCAAGACAATGCGAAACGCACGCGATGCCCATAATAATACAAGAATTATCGGCGCACTGAGTCATTCGGAAGTTTGTACATGTAAATGTATATATCAAATCTTGCGAATTTTTTAAATCGGTAAACGGCGTTGGAAAGGTGAGAAAAAAACCTATCAGATATTTGCATGCAATTTTTTTCATGCGTGATTATACTCAGCCATTTTCTTGAAGAAACGAATAAATTTTTTCATTTTTCCATTTCTTTAATTTTTTTTTTGGGATAAAGTTGTATTTTTCTGCACTCAAATAATTTCAAAGTGCCCCAGCGGAAATTTTTTTTAAAATGAAGTGCATAATAATGTTGTGAACTGTAATAAAAAGTAAAAAAGTGTAAAAAATGTAAGATTACTAACGATTTCGGACATATGATATGTTTTTCTACACTTTTATACTTTTTATTACATTTTATTATATTTGCTTACCTATAATTAGAGAGATAAAAACCCTATAAATTCAAACTCATTAAAGTTACATGGAAAAAGTAAAAAAGTATAAAAAAATATAAAATTCTGCAACAATAATTTTAAATGTTACAATTTTTACTCATGAGTTTAAAATTCCAGTCAAACCCCGTATGTGATCGAATTGACCGCAGCAAGTGATTTTCGTGAAAAAAGTGAACTCACTTTAATGCAGCAGAAAGCCTTATAAAGTCATCATAGACGTACTGGGGAGTACTGAGATGACTGAATTTGGTTTATATACATATCCTTCATAATTTATCTTAATTTATTCATAAAAATCATTACATTTTTTTCACAAAAATCACTTGCTGCGGTCGATGTGATCACACGTGGATAGCATATTGAAGAAAATGTAAAAAAATGTGATTTTATGCTGCCTTTTTTAATGCATTGACTGTCCGAAATCGTTAGTAATTGTACATTTTTTTATATTTTATTACATTTTACGATTTAATATGATGGTTTCCGTTACTACTTTTATTTATCTCAATCGAGTGAAAAAGTGAAAGTTTAATTTCAACCACGTGTTCTCTACAGTCTCTATATATAGATCGTAGCGCGTTGAAAGCCAGTAGAAGTTGAAAGTCAGTACATTTCGAGGCACAGAAGTGAGAACATCTTCCAACATCGCATCGACCGCTGCTCGTGATTTTAGTGAAATTGATATCTCGTCGCTTCAACCACGTGTTCTTTATATCAATACATGTCACGACGACGAAGTGTAAGAAGTAAAAAAATCTCTCATTGTTTTAACCACGCGCTTACTTTACACAGATCGCAGTTTACATATAGTCAGTACACGTAGCAACGCCAAAGTTTAAGCAGCAAAGTAAGATCGCGTTGATTGCAGCGTGCGTGATTTTCGTGAAAAAAAATATCTTCTATTATAGGTGATTGTGAATTGCGTTTGAGTGCACAAAAAAAATGAAACCCTTCTACCGTTTGAGTAGCTTGAAAAGATTACGAAATAAGGTCAAATGGCACGTCGAAAAAGAGCGACATGAATTTATATGTCGACTCAATGGTTTCATCAGAAATTGGAGTCAAGACCTTCCTAACCTCCGAGAAATTTTTCGACCAGAAGAAATTGAGTGTCTTCTCTTGGATTCTATCAATTTGTCGAAAAAATGTATAGGAGCAGACTTCATTGAGTTTGTGGCTAGTACCGGGTACAAAGACAAGCCCAAATATGGTGAAGACGGCAAGCCACTGTTGCGTTGTACCACAGCTCTACATCATGCGACTCGGAACAATCGAAGATACTTGATTCCTGATCTTTTCAAAATCTACGACAGATATGACGTGAACTACACCGACGAAGATGGCTTGACGCATTTCCATGTGGCCTGCAGGTACGGATGTGACGATGTCGTCGAGAAATTCCTCAAGCTTGGTCAGGTTGATCCCAATCTTCTCTTGCCAAAAACAGGCGACTCGCCGCTGCATTTGGCCGATAAGAGGGAAGTGATCGAATTACTGTTGAGAAATGGTTCCGACCCGAATTTGGCTAACAAGGAAGGATTGACACGTCTGCATAGTCTTTGCCAGAATAAAAGCGATGGTGCATTGGCGAGGATTTTCTTAGAAATCAACGACGAAATTGGGAAGACTGTGCAAATCGATGTCGGCGACAAGATGGGCAACACACCGTTGCATTTTGCTTCGCGCCTCGGTAACAACGAGACGATAGAATCACTGCTGAGGAGAGGTGCCAAACCTTATTCGGCTAACGAGGATGGGGAGACATCTCTGCATTTTATATCCAAGAGAGAAAAAGATAATGCCTCGATGGTGTTGTTCTTCAAGATCATTGATGAAGTTCAGCAAACAGTGCCAATCAACGCCAAGAACAAGTTCGGCAACTCTCCATTACATTTGGCCGTAGCATTCCAGAATATAGAGGCAGTCCAATTGCTGTTGACAAGAGGTGCGGATCCAAATTTGGTCAATGCAGAGGGATTGACTCCGCTACAAATGATTTTCCAGAGATACCGCGAAGGGAACTTGGCAGAGATATTTTTTGATACAAGCAAAGAAGTCGGTAAACTGGTAAATGTTGATGTTCGAGACCATAAAGGCCGGACGCTGCTACAATTGGCCGTGTTGAATCTCCTGCCAAATTTGCTTTATGAACTTTTGAAAAATGGCGCCGCTCTGTCTAGCTTCGTTTTCCCCACCGAGCAAGACTTCGACGAGCACTTCGAATCATATAAACTGCACAAGTCACGTAACCAATTTAAGCTTTATGAACGCATAAAAAGTGGATTTAAATTGCAAGTTATGTCTGACGCTTTCGACATCATCTATTCCCTGGGAAATAGAGGATGTCAACTGAAACGAAGCGACGCATTGACGATCATGAAATTGTTCGATAAACTGGGATTATTCGAGATGTCAGAGGATCTTGACGAACGTTGGTATAACGACGAGCAATTTACGGAAAAAGCGAAGAAGATAACTATAACTTCGACTCAAAAGTTTTACGACGAAGAAGCGAAGAAGATGATAACTATAACTTCGACTCAAAAGTTTTACGACTTTATGCAGTTGCGGCCCGACACAGCGGCGAAAATATACACTCATCGGTGCCATTTGATGACGCGAGGATTAGTAAGTTTTACTTCCCCAGATGCTCTCGAGGCAGCTCATACAAAGTTGGGCGCGGCGCTGTTGAGACAATTTGTACAGTCCTGGGCACTGGGTCCATTCTGGAAACTCATACATTATCGACTGCCACTTGAAATCTGCCAACTGATCCTTGGACAAGTAACTAATCGAGATTTATATAATATTTGCTTGACGGCTGCTGGCGAAAGTTATGATAAGAGTGAAAATGTTGTTAATGACTATTTAACAAAAAGTAATAACAAAAGACAAAAGATTTGTTAGAGCTAAAAAAGCTCTAAAAAAGCTACAAGATTGAGTACAGTGAAGAAAATGAGTAAATGATTAATCGTACATTTACTTGGCGGTTGACGCTGACTAGCATATCTGCTGTATTTTCAACGTTTGACAATATTTAATTTAATATTGTATATAGTCCATATTAATTTCGAATAAATTAATTATAAAAATGAATTTTAATTGTATTTTATTGACAAACACCCGATCATTCCAATTCAGTTAGCACCTCAGAAATAAAGATATTATGTTGGAAAAAGGTCACTCAAATACTGGAATAAGCTCGAGTAAGGCACCTGAAACTCGCGTGTTTATAAGTATGACTTTTCGAACGGTAAAGCTTTCCGTCGTCCTCGTCATCTGAAAATCTTTGGCTAAAATCGTTGCAAAAGTTCTCTTCTGCTATTCATACGCAAAATGAAATTTTCCTATTCAAACTTTAATTATACTATAAAAGTCTGAAAAATAATTCAGTACGTGATTTTTAACGCGTATTTTGTATAAAAAAACCTTACTTATGATTCTACTTGCCCGTAGATTGAGCAAGGGAAAGGCATTCAAGACAATAATCGATTCCGCGGCCGAAGGTCGCCCCCGTGTGTGCGTGTGCGTGTGATGTGTGGAGCTTGCATCGATATTTTTACTGCTGTACATCCATATACGTTCGGACCAAAAAGCCGCCCGCGTCTGTTTCAAATGTATACGCAGTCGTGTCGGATGAATCTCTCTTTTTTTTTTCGTCGCGTATTGTCTCTGCTTTTATATAGAGCTGCAGTACTACGCGGCTCTGTGCTATATGCTTTATTATCGATTTAACAACGCGACGTGCTTCGAACGCGTTTGACGGGCTTTATTAGAAATTCGAGGCACCGTATCTACATTTTTACTTTTCTCGAGTGAATTTCGAGGCTAGTTTTTTGACAAATGAAGAATAATTTTGAATGTATATGGATTCATGGTTGGGTGCGACTCAGCAAGTAACAAACCGTGCTTAGACTTATATAATTATTTTGACTTTACCACTTGCAGATTTACACATAAAGCTATCAAACCATCTAGTGGCCGAAAATGAAACTAATACTACTGAATTCAAAGTGATTCAAAAATAGTCTACATTTTTCGTAACAATCAAATTGTCATTTTCTGGTCATTTCAGTTGCGCTTAATATTTTTTAACATAATTACGAAAAAAAATCACCAAAAACAAGCTAATCGATTATCGTGCATTTTAAAACAATTCAAATGATCATTTTTCCTAGTCATCAGGTACTTTCCATTCGAGTTGGGAGACGTGAAAATTCGAAAAAAGAAAATGTATTTCAATGTCTCACCTTGACTCCGAAGGCGGTCTCGTAGCCGCCCTTGCCCTGCATCTGCGTCTGTATGGCGTTGAGATGGGCGCTGGCCATGTCGAGATCGCCGCTGCCGATGTGGCCGGTGTGCTGGAAATTCGTCGGGGCGCTGATCATGCTCCGGTCTATCCTGTGCCTCGTCTGTGCACTGGACGTACCGTTGACTCCTCTGTGTTGTGACTGGTTTTGCTGCTGCTGCTGTTGACGCTTGGCCCGAGCGCCGGGTCGCTGCTGGGTCAGGCAGCAGGTGAACCACTGGACCCAGACCTCGCCCGTGCTCGCCATGGCTCCGTTCTTTTTTTGCGCCGTTTTTGCGGTTCTGCCGGTTGGGCGCACGAGGAGACGACGACGTCTGTGAAAAAAAGTAATGGTTTTCAATGGGGCTTTAGAAGAGGTCGGAGAGAACAAAACCATTCAAGTATGTTTACGTGATTTACGAGTAGGAAATAAATCGCCAGAGAGAGAGAGAGAGAGAGAGAGAGAGAGAGATGCAGTCAGCGAGATAACGTTCGCATAATACGAATCGATCTCACCGCACTGATAATTATCCAACAATATAAAAGCGCATCGACGCGCGATGCAAATATAATATGTAATAATACTTGTATAAAAATTCAGCCATTAAAATCACGACGGTATTAATCGTGAGAATTTGTTCGAGACAATCTTTAATAATTTATATATACGTAGGTAACGATAAAATCGGTGCCCTTTAATCGGCATTATAATCACTCGAGTGTGCCCGAACAGATATATATATACAGACGCAGCGAACGCGAAATCATGAGCAGAGAAAAAAAAAAGACATCGGACAGAAATGTGGAACGACAAAAATGATCGATCGCTATCTCCGTTGTGCTATATACACACACAGAAATCGTGTGTATAATAACGGTGCAACGGCTCCGAAGGACTGCAGCGCGCCTGTGCCGACGGGGGTGATACGGAAACAGTTAGATAGCTCGCGCTCGCAACGTAGCGTACATATAATACGCGCGGGCCTTAATTGCGAGCCACCTCCCGAGCTCTGCTAGCAGCTTCTTATAATGGATAAAGGACGACTTTTTTTTGTTGTTGCTGCTGTTGCGCACGTCAGAGAGTATATATAAGAGAGCGAGAACGAGAGTTGCGGCGGCGGCGGCGGCTTCGGGGTCAGAGCTGCTGCTGCTGCTGCGAGAGAGAGAAAAATAAGTAGAGCGTTTTAATGCGCAGCTACCGGGCTTACGCATTGTCTCTTTTTTCTTCTTCTTCTTGACTTTGCCTTCTCAAGTGGAGAGAGAGAGGACGGCAGAGGCACGACACGCTAATGAGACGCGCTCTCGATGCGCGATATATTTTTGACGCCGCCGCGCAGGAAGAAATAATAAGTGCGCTTCTCGTGCGCTAATTAAGAGATGGGCGGTTTATGATACATAAAAATTGTAACGCAGCTATATAAGCCGAGAGACAGGGCTACGCGACAATCGAAAGTGATTCGAGGAGGGACCGGTAGTAGCACGTGTAATTTATAATGGCAATATCGTACAATCGTCCAATTGTAACGCGAACGAGAGGCTATTTGGACTTCGTCGACCTTGAGTAGCTCGATGATCAATTTGAACCTATTGTGCGAGGCGTCATGGATGAGCATCGGTACGTGTGTGCATTATAATGTTATATAGGTGACACTCAAACATCATTCCCGTGAGCCAGTTTACTTTTTTTTTTTCGCGACGGGTAGCAGCGTCGATCGTTAGATTTTTTAAGTATACATTTATCTGATACTCGCTCATTCTCAGCGATATAAATTTCAATTTTATTTTCAATGAAGTGCTCGTTGGAAAATAATTTATTAAGGAGATCTATAATCTAATTTTTTAACAGTATGTAATCATTTGATATTGCTGAATTGTAAATATTATGAAATTGAACTCAAGTTATTCAATTTGAATCGCGAAGAGATTAATTTTATACAAAACTTTAAACGAATGGAAGGATTCTAGAGATTTATTCAATTTTTATGCTAGGTAATTTTCAACAATCGTATGAATATATTTAGCTTGGCATTTAATATTGTAGTAATTATTTCACAGTGAAAGAAGAACCTTGCGACGAGTCGCTCGATGAAAATGATAATGAAATAATTGGCAAAGCGCTCGATGTAAAAAATGTTTTCTTCATCTGAGAATTTTCAGTAAGGATTAACGTACAACATATATTTTATGAAAACGTACACGTAAATAATATGTTATTACAAATGTGCTTCTATAACGAAAATGACGAGATGGAGATTGAATTTTGGCGTAAAGACGCGAAATCGAGCATGAATTTTTTTGAAGTTATGAAAATGATCGATTATTGTCAAAACGACATGCAGTACGTACTGTGCTTTACTTAAGTAATCGGAGTCTCTGGTGAATATTCAACGCACGACTACTCGAATGTTTATTTCTCTTTATGCGTGTAATCGTCTCATCAACTTATTTTTATATTAACTTGATTCTTGCACGTGACAACACTACACGAGGGTCGCAATGATTTCACAAGTGAGAAGAAATTTACACGAAAATCAAGTTTACTCTACCACAAAAAGACAGTACACGAAGGTCACAAAAATTTCACACGTAACAAGTGCGAGAATAAATTCGGATTCAAATCAAATTTGCTCTTACACCAGAACTCGGTACACGAAGGTCACCAAGATTAAGCATATGATAATTGTAGACAGACATTTAGACACAAATCGAGTTTAACTAATCACCATAAGATTTTTTTTCTTTTCTAATCACCATAAGACAATACACAAAGATCGCAAAGTGACAAGAGTGAGAAACAATTTACACATAAAGCGTGCACAAGCCTTAAATTACCAATAAAAGAACATCATTACTGTCTTTAATTAACGTATGCATTATTTTAAGCTGCAGCTATTTTCTATCGTTCATATATAGTACTTTATATATCATAAGAGCATAAAAGAAACGACAAACATTTTTTTTTCGTTTCGTAATAATGCATATTAATTTGATCTCGCCGTTCAGAGCTTTAAACCTTAATTGACAAACAAACACTGTATAAATCTTCATTCATTAGCTTCTCGATGACTATTTCACTGCAATCCAACGTTAATCTGAGTCGCGTCAGTTCCGCGAAACATTCCAGTGCCCAATCTCGAAAAAATCGTCTCGACATTTTTTCGCACAGAACGCAAACCGCCCTCGACCGCCAGGGGAGCTCGAGCAGTTTTTCCGAGCGCGCGAACCGAAAGTAGTCCCAACACGTTATCAGTTTCGCCGCCTCTTCGGGGCTCAAAAGTATCGCTTCGTAGAGTGACATTTCCGACTTTATCATTATCTGTTTTGCTTTTCTCGCGAACTCCTCGCCGTCGAACCAAGTTTTTGCCACCTCCGTCGGCCTCTCGAACAATTCGTACTTGGCGAATAATTTCATGACGACCAGAGCTTCGCTTAGCTCCAGTTCGTATCCACGTTTCTCGAGGCGTTCGACGACGATCAGAGCGCCGGTCGCAAGTCTCAATTTAAAATTCACGGACTTCGTATTCTGCGATTTAAATCTCTCGGCGAAGTAATCCTCGGTTGGAAAACTGAAACTGGATAGATCTGCACCACGATCCAGAAGAATATCGACCATATCCGGCAAGAGATTCGCTACGGCCCACTGCAGAGGGGTCCGACCCAAATTATCCAAGGCGTCGACTTGCACCGTCTCGTGTCTATCGTCGTACATTCGTAAAGCCATCTTCACCAGAAGGTGGCCGTGGCAACACAAGCAAGCAATATGCAACGCTGTTGATCCGGCCCTGTTGGCTAAATTTATATCAGCCCCGTTTCTCAGCAACACTTCGGCCACGATATGTTGACTTCTGTACAGGGCCAAATGCAGCGGCGAAGTGCCTGTCAGTGGCACGAGGCAGTTGGGATTCTGGCCGATCTCGAGAAATTGCTCGACGATGTCGCAGAGGCCGAACTCGCAGGCTATGTGAAAATGCGTCAATCCATCTTCGTCGGTGTAATTAACGTCGAATCTGTCGAAGATCTTGAAAAATTCACGGATCATGGTGCCGTAGTTGTAGGGCTTGCGTCTAGCGGCGTGATGAATCGGTGTGGTGCGATTCAAAATTGGCCTTCCTTCTTCATCCAACTCAGGCTCGTGCGTTAAGCCGGTGCGAGCTATGAACTCGATCAGTTGTGTTCTTTGATTATAGGTAAAGGCTCCATGCGTGTCGATTACGGACTCTACGAGAATCCAATCAATTTCTTCTTCGCTAAAAATTTCTAGAAGATCGGGAAGCTGACCTTCCCAATCTCTGACTACGTAATAAAGCCAATATAAAAATTTGCGTCGCTCATCCTCGACCTGCCAATTGACCTTTTCTCGTAACGTCTTCAATGATTTCGAGTGAACTTTGCCCAGGAAAGCATGTACACTCATATACACATCGCTGCTTGCCACGGACATGTTTCTGCACACTTAAACTTAAGGCACGAGCAAAGTCACTCACGGAAGAACTTTGCGCTGAATAGAAACAGCGTTTTTAATATGGACTTCGAAAGTCAAATCGGTAAAACTGTACTACAGAAGAAAGCAAGATCTAGAGAGCAAAATCTGCAGAGCAAGATTTAAATAACTGCCCAAGAGGAAAATGACAATAAATTTATCAAATGAATATAACAGATCGTAATTATACCACTTGAATCGCTATCAAGTATCACTTTAAATTTTGCAATGTGTTTTTTTATGGAGCCTCGGCTGTGCCTCGGATACCCGACACGCTTCGATGTAACGCGATAACTAACACGCAGCTCGAGCTATCTCCCCTGATATTAGAATTTTCCCCGGGACCCGAGATTCTGCGCAGAAGATTGGATGCAGTGATTTGTTCACGCTTTCCATTGCTCGAAATATCGGGGGTGGTTTGTACCGCTGGGTGGTGGACGACACCTAGCGGTCGCGACAGTGTCGAGTACGAGCAGTACGAGTTCCCGACCGGACAGATAGGGGTTTTCGGGGTGAAACAACGATAATCCCATCGAAAAAAAATCAATAGCCCAAACGCATATGCAAATTTCGCGCCAACGTCGCGTTGTCGTCGTTTTCGTGCCGCGTGGACACGTACGCGTTCATGAACGAAGATACACCCACGCACAATCGCGACGACTACGTGCGCAGTAGCTCGCACATCGGCCAGATATTATGTATACCGAGGCGATGCTCGCTCAACGCGTCATCGCTTATCCCTCCGGTGCGATCTTCGGGGCGCGCGAAGATTTTCTCGCCGCGAGTCGGTGGCGGCCCGTATGTGTATGTGTAGATGTGGGCCAAGTAACTAAAACAAAACAGAAGCAACAAGAAGGACAACAACGAGTCTGCCATACATATTCAACGAGTAGTATTCCAACTGTAGCATGCTTTGCCCGCAGAGTTCTCTCTCTCTTTGTCTCGCTGCTGCTACTGCTGCAGCCTGCAGTTCAAAGTGGATCAACCGCATCTTTTAGGATCCGTTATAAATACCATGTAAGAGGGGAGAGGCGAAGACAAGCGCGGGCGCGCGTGAAAACATTCGGTTCTTTTTTCTATTATCAAAGCTCGCCTATAACAACGCAACTCAATGGTCTATATCGATATGTTTCAATTATTTTATTGAAAAAAAAGAGCATCCGGGACACGCTTCACGGAATACTATATAATGTGGTTTGCCAAACATTTTGAGTTATCGTCGCTCTTGGCTCGAGCGTAGCAGATTATGGGATGCATAATTACGATCTCGAGCGCGAAGCTGACCTTCGCGATCGTACGAATAAAAAAACTGACATAATGAGACCTTCGCTCGGGCTCGCGCGTTCAACGAATTTTCGGTTGCCGCTCTCTCTTGAGTCGTTCATTTAATATTTAATTTTTTTTTTTGCTCGCATCAATTTGACGCGCGACGACGATAAATAATAATGAACGACCGCAACCGCGAGTGTTCCAAGGCGAAGCAAAAAAAAAAAAATTAGATTAATCAGAAATCAATTGTGCGTGGGTAGTCGTGAGTTCGTGTATATTATGGCAAATTTATTCGCATTAAGCGAGGATAACAATTTTTTTTTTTCAAGCACGTAATCCTCGATTTATCGTTCGACAACGCGGTACATATACTCGTGCGCGCGCGCACACACACACACATACACGCACACTTACGCACATCATAGGCACGCGACGGGACGACGTTGGCGAAGCTATCATCGATATAAATAAGACGATTTACAAAATGAAAAATATCAATTACCTCTGTTTGTAATACGGAGCGTGCTTTTGGGCTGCGATGCGTAACCAACGTCTCTCCTCTTTCTGTAACATAAATTAATGCGCAATTTTAACAATTAATCGTTTATAATTTAAAAGGTTGAGTGCGCGCTCGTGTTTTAAAGTAGATTGTCCATTGAGGCTGCGCCGGGTTGATAAATTTTAATCGAGATACATTTACATTTTTTTTTGCTTTAAAAATAGACAAGAAATGTCACATTTAGCAATGGAATTATTAGGCGTCGCACTTGGTAGCGGCGTATCTTGAGCACACATTTTGTACGGATTCGATATTGGTACGAGCTACTTCTAGTAGAAATGTTTGAAATTGAACGATGCCTTCACCGGCTAAGTTCTAATTATTTATCAAATTTAATTTTATCACAATAAGTTTGAAGAGATTTAGAAATTTAAAAATATAGAAAATAATATGAAAAAAAGTAGAACAAAACAACAGAGATCTTATAGTGTAAAAACTTGCGCTTTCACTTATACAATTATTTCGACTTGGCCACTTGCAGATTTACACACATAAGGGTATCCACCATCTGGCGGTAGATTCTCAAACCGCTGGTACCGGTCTAAATTTTTCAAAACGATAAAAGAGTCATTTTAAAAACGCACTCTAAGTGCGCTCGATGTAACTTTAATAGTAAAACTGTAATTAATGCGAGTCAAAACTCGAGCCACGACGTGCGATTATTACACCTAATATACTGTAATTGTGAGTAAATTTTTTTTTCAACTCTTTAAGATGCAAATTTTCGTCAATGAGTGTCGACGAATCTACGCTTTTGCGCATCATCATCATCATCCTCATGATCACGATCGTCATGCTCTGCCGCACTGCACGTATATTATAACGAAGAAAAGACGCACACGCACGCAACCCCGTTGATTATATTGACCAAAGGACCTTGAGAGTATAATTCAAAGTCCGTGTGTGCACTTGGATAGCTCGAACAAAACAACGAGAGCAGCAGCAGCAGCAGCACAGGGATATAAAGCACTTATTATCACGCTGTATATTTGTAGATCATTACGCTCGAGTTTTACGATACCAGTACTACTGTGCGCATACATACAAGAGAGGGAGTCTAATAAAAAGAGATCGGCGCGCAGACGGCGCGTATATATTATAATATACGAAGCGCCCGACCGACTGCCGACTGTGCCTGCATACTATAACTACACGGCGACGAACATAATCAATGCGCATGATACGCGCGTATATATACACAATTTTATATACGACGAGAGAGAGAGAGTGAGCTTCACCCATCATCAACATTTCTGCAGTTAAACGTTTCAGTGCCGGTGCGGTAGTACTGCGCGCGTTTATATAGAGAGAGACTCGAGAGCGCAAGAATTGCACCGATGCGATATATGGGCCGTACCTCTCTCATGTGGCTTATGATTAAGTGCGCCCTAGCTCATTCCTCTCTTTCTCGTTGCAGCAGCAGCAGCAGCACACCAAGTGCTTCGGAGCTCGTAGCTCGCGCTTTTATATAAAACAAAAGGCGGACGCGTATATGATAGGTTTTGTACGATACGTACGGTAGCTAATGATCCCCGCTCCTAATTCATGTTATAAATAAATAAATGTAAGTCTGTTACGTACATTTTCATACCCGTGTGTGTGCCGAGCGAAAACGAGCCTGTCAACCACTTATTATTATTATGGCGTGGATGTTTTTTGCATTTTTTGGAATACTTGCTTTTGTTCTGTCGCCAAGTTAGAGTTTTAAATTGTTTCAAACATTGTAAGAATAATGTATAAGCAATGAAATCGGTAAATTAATCGTAAACAATATGATGATTGACGATATTGACACTTATCCTCGACACATTGATCATGTTTACAGTAAAATCAAATTAGTTTCAATGTTGTCTTTCTCCATGAAACAAGTCATAATACCAAAAAGATAAATTGTACTCATTTTATTTCCGTGAATGGAATAGAATCCATCGTTGACTTTGAGCACCAAAATGGATAAAAGTGAAGAGAAAGTCGAAGAAATTGTCTCAAAAGATAATTTAAGTGAACGCGACATTGTTGTTTCTGACGACAAACAACACATATGTGATATTTGTCAGGAGGCATTTATACTAGAATCAAGCTTGATAACACACCGAGACACAATTCATAATGAACGAAAAAATTATGCATGCGACATATGTGAGAAGACATTCGAGTTCCGAAGTCATTTGAATAGACACCAAATATCTGAACACAAAAGTTGCAAAGATTTTGCATGCGACAAGTGCGACAAGAAATTTGTGAAACAGTCGAGTTTGTCTACACACCAAAAATTGGTACACAAAGATCGGAAAGATTTCACATGCAACAAGTGCGAGAAGAAATTTGAAAATAAATCAAATTTAATAAATCACAATAAAATATTCCACGAAGTTTTCAAAGATTACTTATGCGAAAAGTGTGCGAAGAGATTTGGAAATAAACAGAGTTTGCTATTGCACATAAAAACCGTCCATGAGGGATGCAAAGATTTCGCATGCGACAAGTGCGGGGAGAAATTTACACAAAAATCAGATTTTTTGAAGCATCAAAGGACAGTCCACGAGGGTCACAAAGATTATGCATGCGACAAATGTGAAAAGAAATGGGCATATAAATCAGATTTGTTGAAACACCAAAGAACAGTCCATGAAGATTGCAGAGACTTTGCATGCGACAAGTGCGAGAAAAAATTTGGGCATAAATATCATTTGCTCTCGCACATAACAACAGTCCACGAGGGTAGCAAAGATTTCGCATGTGACAAGTGCGAGAAAAAATTTGGACAAAAATCGCATTTGCTCGTTCACCAAAGGACAGTTCATGAAGGTCGCAAAGACTACGCATGCGAAAATTGCGAAAGGAAATGTGTGAGTAAATCAGTTTTGTTGCAGCACCAAAGGACAGTCCACGAGGGTCGCAAAGATTTCGCATGCAATCAGTGCGAGAAGAAATTTTCACAAAAATCGAATTTGCTCTTCCACCTCAAGACGGTACACGAAGGTCGCAAAGATTACGCTTGTAACCATTGCGGGAAAAATTGTGTAAATAAATCATATTTAGTCATACACATAAAGACAGTCCATGAGCGTCGCAAAGACTACGCATGCGACAAATGCGAGAAGAAATTTGGACAAATGAGTAATTTGCTTTTCCACCAAAGGACAGTCCACGAAGGTCGCAGAGATTTCGCTTGTGACAATTGTGAGAAAAAATTCGGAAAAAAATCGCATTTGCTAAGCCACCACAGGACAGTCCATGAAGGTCGCAAGGATTATGTATGCGATGGATGCGAGAAGAAATATGGAAGTAAAGCAGATTTGTTGAAGCACCAAAGGACAGTTCATGAAGGTCGCAAAGATTTTGCATGCGATAATTGCGAGAAAAAATTTGGACATAAATATCATTTGTTATCGCACATAACAACAGTCCACGAGGGTCGCAAAGATTTCGCCTGTGACAAATGCGAAACGAAATATGGGAGTAAATCAGATTTGTTGAAGCACCAAAGGACAGTCCACGAAGGTCGCAAAGATTTCGCTTGTGACAGTTGTGAGAAAAAATTCGGAAGAAAATCGCATTTGCTAAGCCACCAAAAGACAGTACACGAAGGTCATAAAAATCATGCATGTGATAAATGCGAAAAGAAATTTGGAAGTAAAGCAGATATGCTTTCACATAAAAAAACAGTTCATGAAGGTCGTAGAGATTACGCATGCGACGAATGCGAGAAAAAATTTACAAAAAAGTGGAGTTTGCTCTACCACCAAAAGGCGATACACGACGGTTGCAAAAATTACGCATGTACTAAATGCGAGAAAAAATTTTCACACAAATCGAGTTTGCTCATCCACCAAAGGACAGTACACGAAGGTCGCAAAGATTTCTCCTGTAACAAGTGTGAGAAGACATTTAGACAAAAAGGGCATTTGCACGTTCACCAAAGAACAGTGCATGAAGGTCGCAAAGATTTTTCATGCCATCTTTGTCAGAAGAAATTTGCACAAAAACCACATTTGTTTTTCCATCAAAGGACAGTACACGAAGGTCGCAGAGATTTTGCTTGCGACAAATGCGAAAAGAAATTTGGACAAAAATCGAACTTGTTTATGCACCAAATTACAGTCCATGAAGGTTACAAAGGTTAGGCATGTGACAGGTGTGAGAAAAAATGATGATTGACAATTGTAAATTTGTATAGTAAATATGTATTGATACTAATATATATGTTTATATTAAATATCAATAAAAATTATACTGAAATAAATATGTATTACCTGAACCTCAGTCATTTAACAAACCTTTGTACACTACCGTGGTGTTTTCAGATTTCATGTACAACTAATTGCTACTCTCAATGAACTTTTCGACTGTTCGGTTTCTGTAGCTCTTCGTGCAAAAATCGACCGACAGTTTTTTTTAATAAGACGAATATTTAAACACACGTTAGTGAAAATTTTGGATAAATATGCTGACCGATATGGAATCATTTATTAATTTAATTTGATCAAATTGCGCGATCTATTTTTCATATCAAAAAGCTAAAGAAAGCAATTTAGAAGCTCATGGCCAGCTAAGTAATGAGAAATTGAACAGAAAATGGTAATACACATATAAACATTTTTCCGATATTTTGGGTTTTTTTTCTCAAGCACGTAGAGCAATAGTTAGTACGAACCGGTTATGACAGTCAATGTTCATCATGTTCACGATGATGAATTGATTTTCAAAACAAATATACACGTTGAGTTATCTTTTTTCTGCTGATCGGTCATGAAGCGTATAAAATCTGTTAATCAATGAAACTTCAATCATATCTGTTTTTCAAGACAATATAAGCTTTTTTTCCTGAAATAAAAACTTCGTGTGGTTTGGTATTTTAAAACTTGAGAAAAACTTGTGTGGTGCTCGTTGGATAAACTGATTATTTTAATTAATTTGACAATTTAATGAATTAGATTTGTAGCAGTTAAAAATTACGTTAAAAACTTTATATCGTAAAAAATTGCGTAATCCGAGGGAGGTGTGTGATCGCGCGCCGCGCTTCGTATGTCACCGACGCCACACAGTGGTACCAAACTGAAAAAAAATGATCTAAATTAAAGTGTCAAGGGATTTTAGCACGGAAAAAAAATCCAAAAATAGTGTCAGATTCGGGAGATCATGAGGAATCCAATGCCGTTTCCCTTTTTTAATTAGCTATTTGTTTAAACATTATACAGCTAATTGAAGTCTCTCATTATCAATTTGTTATAACATAAAATTTCCTAATTATTCATTTATTGAATTATCATTGCAATTTTTGTGAGCCGAAAGCTATCTCAGCTCATTGGTTATTTTTACAATCACTAAAATAGTATGAAAATTCAAAATTAATATTTGTTAATAATAATAATTGTTTCGTTAATAAACAAATGAAAAGTTAACGTGCAATATGTTGTTCTCATCACAATTAAGCATTTTAATTGGATTGATGGGAAATAATCATATCATTCTAATTTTTAACGACAATTGTTATAACAAACGATTGTTATAAACAAATTTTAAACAATTGTGAAATTTTGATTTCTTATACTTTTTTACACATATCGAATTTGATTATAGCTTAAATTTTTTTCCAACGAATCATAAACATTCAACAATAATATTTGTTGATAATTTTTTTATTTTGTTGATAAACAAATGGAAAATTAACGTGCAATATGTGGTTTTCGTTACGATTATGCATTGTCACTGTATTTACAGGCAATAAGCATATCAATTTAACATTCGACGATAATTGCTTAAGCAATTGTTATAAACAAATTATTAATAATGGTTAAATATCGATTCTGCATGCATTATTGTGCTAGTGAACACTCATTAGAATTGCATATTAATTAAATATCAAAGGATCACAATATTAGAGTGCATTTTTAATAATAATTTTTATTATTATCATTTATTATAAATTAACAAATTTAAATAAATAAAAAGTTTATTTTGGCCTTAATGAAAGAAATAATAATTTTATTGACTTGAA